GTGTGTATATACTATATGAGATGTGTGTGTGTATATATACTATATGAAGTATGTGTGTGTGTGTATATATACTATATGAGATGTGTGTGTGTGTGTGTGTGTGTGTGTGTATGCTTCTCTCTCCTGCTGAAGGCCTTCCTCCCCTCTCTTACAGTGCAGCAGTAACACTTCCCTGCCTCTCGCTACAAAGCATTAATGAAACCCAGGGGACAATGAAACACCAAGGAGAGTGAACACGAGTGGCCGAGACCCCATAAGCAACTATGTGTGAGCTTTCATTTAAGGGATCAAGCCTTCAATTCGATATCAACCATCGACCACACATGGAATATTTCATACCACACATACATTCATACACACACTCACACACACTGATATGTATGTATACTAATCAGTAAGAGGACTTAATAAAAACAAAATCAGCAGACATCAGGGAGCCCAGGAAGCCCCTGATTTCAGTAGATAAGCTTTTCTAGAAATAAACTTACCTTCTGACTTTGGTCTGATTTGTTATTAAAAGGAGCTCATATCATCTGAGTCTTGGCCTCCACTCTTGATATTTTTTTCCATGATGGGGTGGGGGCCAGAGGACCGAGTACATTACAGCTAATGCCAAAGGAGACTTTCTGCACATGGTTAACCGTTGTCTAAGGTATCCTCTCAATGCCTAAGTAAACCTGAGATAACTGCTCTGAAAATTTTGCACTGCCACGGACCCCCTCTGCTCGCACCTGTCTGTCTGATGGCACCTGTCTGATGGCCTCTGCCAGCTCCATCACCACCCCTGTACCAGGCTTACCTGCTGGGCTGCCTCATGGAAGAGTTCCTGTGGAGACCTCTGGGCCATTCTCCAGGAAGTGAGGTTCTGAAACTCTAGATGGGGAGACCACTCTGGAAGGCAAACATCACTCTTTGTCAGTCAGGCCCTCTCTCCCCTACTGTTTCTTGTCTGTCCAGCTTCCTCTGCACTGAGGAAGACCGCGGGTGAAGTAGAAACCTTGTTGGCCCCCATCTGGGGACTCCTCCCCACTGGCCTCTTTAGTACCCCGTTCATGGTTCAGAGCCCACCTGCTCATTTCCTGTTGTCCCAAGATCACGGGAACCCCTACACTTCACTCCCTACTCCATGAATTCCTGAAATATTGGGGAATGGTCTAGGCTGACTGCCCAGCCGCCCCGCCCTTACAGACACAGCCCCACACTCCTTTCCCGGGGCTTTGGAAGCCCTTCGTTCAGAGCAAGGGCACTGAGGTCTAGTTGGAATCCGTGTCTGCTGGTGAGCCCAGGCAGAATGAACTGTAGGCAGAGCCAGAGGATAGGGGGCTGTCTTGAGAGGGCCCTGGACCCTGGCCAGAAACAGGGTAGGCAAGAAAAAGACGTCAGAAAAGTATAGCTCTGGCCCACCACAAGAGTTGACCTGGCTTTCCTGAGGCCAGGGACCTTGCCCCATGACATTTGGAAGAAGAAAGGGAGGGAGAGGAGAGGACTGAGGCAACCGACCCGACCGTGATCCCCATCCTGCGCAGGGAAAAGATTCTAGAGACTTGAACGAACATGGGAAGAGGAACAGGAGAAGATTCCTGTGGGACGGATCACCCTAAGAAGATCTGGGGGCTGCGGGATGAGGCTCTGGGCACCAGGGTCAGGTCCTTGCGACCCCGGCTATTCTTCCCCTCCGCGGAGCGGTACCCGCACCCTCACCTGCTCCTACCCGGGCTCCTGAGGCCACGCCCGCCCCACCCCGCCCCGCCACGTGGCCGCGCTCCCGGCCACCTGCCCTGAGTCTTGAGCCACGCCGCCCCAGCGTCCAGACAGAGCATCTGGACTAGAGACCCAGTCCCTGGGCACCACCTGTCCTGAAGGACGGTGGTTCAGCCAGGTGACACCGAACTGGCAGGAAATAGAGCTTCTAGAGACAAGAGAGCGCCCGGGGCATGCTGAGAGGCAGGGGGGTGACCCTCACCACTTCAGCAGGATCACCGAGCCGCCTTCCTTAGGGGTGAATTAAGGTTTCCAGGGGCTCGGGTTGCAGGGTGAGGGGTGGGAATTAACATACAGAGAGATTAAATTATCTCCCTTTTCAATCTGGCATAGTTCCTAAACCTTAAATAACTTGCCAGGCTTCCATGTGGGCTTCTGAGAAACAGGAGGGCAGCTGGGAGTACTTCCCACGCCCACAAGCCTTTGTGTGAAATCCCTAAAAATAGAGGCTGTTCTTTTAAAACAAAAGGGAAGGCAAAGCCCAGGAACACTGGTGGCGCCCTATCCTTTCTTTGCTGTTCCAGGAAGTTGTTTCTGCGAAGGTGTCTTACGTAAAGGTTGCCGTCCGGTCCATTTTAACAGTGTGGTTAATCTCACTCACGGTGTTTGATGCTCAAGGATCCATCATAAATATGTCCCCAAAGTTTTTCATCACCCCGTACAGAAAACACACAGTTCGCCGCCCCCGCCCCGTGCCCCACCCCACTGTCTGTCTTTCTGTCTACTCTGAATATAGCTAACCTCTAAATGAAATAGTACAATATTTATCATTTTGTGCTTGGCTTGTCACACTTGAGCACCACGCCCCCAAAGTCTTTTTTTATGTTGTATGCCTCAGCACTTTTCGGCAAGCAAATTGGGTTTTCATTCTTTTATGGAGTTTTGTTTTCATGTTTGGCTTTACAGTGCTGCGAGTGGAACCCAGGGCTTTGTCGGCGCTGGACTCTGTTCTAGCACTGAGTTATATCCCCAGCTTGCAGACAAGTTTTGATAACCCATCTCTGCAAGAAGCAAAACCCCCATTTCCACCGGAATGAATCACGGATTATCAGTCTTTGAGAAGACGCTGGACAGACGGAAGGATGACATACTGCTAAGATCCATGACATGAGCGTCTCGTCACCTGCACAGCCGGCCAGGAAAGCTTTCTTTCTTCCTTTTTGGGTGATATATGACACTTTTTTACTTTGACTTTAACTAGGTTCCTGTTTGCTGTCAACCTCTGGAGAGCCTACCGCTAAGCTTCAGTCAGAACTTTGAGAAATCCACCAGCAAGCGCACATCAGCCGCAGGAGAAAAGGAGACGCACCCCTCTTTGTTACCGTTGTTTCCTGAAATAAACTCTTTTCTAAATACCTGAAAAAAGAGTTTCCTTCAAAGCCCCTCTTCTAAACCTTAGAATAAATGCGTTCATGTCTTTTTTTTTTTTTTCATTTTAAGGGTAAATAGAGAAACTCAGTTGTTTGCAAAGAAAGAATATGTCCTGCTTTAGGCCAACTTAACTTATAACCTTAAAATAACGACAACAAAAACCAAACAAAAAAAACAGGAGTGGTGTTGCACACCTTTAATCCTAGCACGAGGGATGCAGAGGCAGGTAGATCTCCTTGAGTGGAGGATAGCCTGGTCTAAAAAGTGAGTTACAAGACAGCCAGGACAGACAGAGAAACTCTGCGTCAAAAAACTAAACAAAGAAAACAAAAAAACCAAACAAACAAAAAACTCAAAACACTTGTACCAAAAAATAGTATCTTGCATATTCTTAGAATGGACCATCTCCACTTCTAAGCTACCATCCTCCGTGGCCAGAGAGAAGAGTGTCCATTGCATCATTTACCTCTAATACTTGAAAGCACGAGAACCTAAAGTTCATTGGCAGCAGGTGGATCAATTTAGGAGAGACCCACAGGAGGACAGCTGGCCCTTTAAATCAGGTGGTTTTCCGTGTACCAACAGGATCTCTACCCATCACATAATGAATACAAACAGCAAGTTGCAGGACAGCATGAGTGGTGTGCTGTAACCCATATGTCTATAGATGTATCATTTGCACATAAAACACCATCAATCTATTGTGTTTCTCTCTAGAGAGAGGAACCAGGATAGTCAAATAGGAGCGGAAACCCACTTTGGTGGATACACTTAGGGTTTTATTGACTTTTTTTTCTTACAACAAGTATATGTTACTTTAGAATCTGAAGGAGGAAAATGAGTAAGAAGTTAAAAAGACAGATAATGTGGGGCCGACGGTACTTTCCCAAGACGGCCACACTAATATATTCCATCGTGTCTGCTTTTCGTAAAATAGGAAATGAGATTCCCTCAGGAGATGGGACTTTGTTCTCATTGACCAGAGTGGGCTTTTGCAAACGCCTTGGCTGATGGACGAAATAACTCTGTTTGGCTTCACAAGCTAAGTGGTAAAGGCCACAGGTGTTCTGGCTGTTAGAGTGCTCACACTTGAGATTCAGCGCTATGTTGTGGGGTGTGCGAGGATGCTCCAGGCGGCAGCCAGTATTAACCAACTGTGAGCGAAACAGGCCTTTAATTGACTCCTGCCCACAGCAGAGGGGTCCTGGGCATTCTAGAGCAAGCTGTTCTTTCTGGGCAAGCTCTGAATCCCTGATTCACAGAGTGGATTACAGACGGTGGCTGCTTTAGACAAATCAGTTTGAGGGTAGTTTGTTACACGACAGGCATCTAGTACAAGAAGAATCCAACCATGATAAAAGTGGCTCCTCCCCCTCCAAATATTCCATATCCATTTTGTTGTTCGGAATCCCCGTTATTACAGCCCACAACTATGTAAGAATATAATACAGCTATTAAAAACTATTTCTCTTCGACAGAGTAAGAACTTAGGCTCCACAGCTGACCCCCGTGGCGAGGCTGTTGCTCTGTGCACCTCACCAGGCTGCAAGGCACAAAGAAGCTTGTTCACGTCCTTCCTTCCAGATGATGGTGCAGTCTTGCCCTCTGTGTGAAGGCTGGCAAAGAAACCATGCTTTAGAACAGAGGTTCTCAACCAGTGGGTTGATGCTTCCATAGGGGTGGCCTAAGACCACCAGGAAACGCAGATATTTACATTATGATTCATAACAGCAGCAATCTTAAGAGTTATGAGGTAGTTATGGCTGAGGTTCAGCACAACATGAGGAACTGTGTTAAAGAGTCGCAGCCTTAGGAAGGTTGAGAATGTTAGTAGATGACCTCTTTTGTCAGAAAGTCTGAAGCCGGGGGTGAGATCAGAGCTCGGACAGAGTAAAGCAGAACAGAGAGATGAGAGCAGACTGAAAACATTAAACAGCGAGGTCAGCATGTGTGTGCACAGCCTAGACTCCAGCATCAAAGGCCAGATGCCACAAGGAGGAATCGGCTGGCCTGGCATGGGCTTTACAACTCCTGTCTGTACGCCACAATCATCTAGGAGTGGGTTCAGAAAAACAAAACCCCACCTGGGGACCACCTGCCCTAAGGATTCCCCACCTCATTACTTGACTGGTCTGAGGTGGGGATGGACACATTGGCATTTTCTTTAAGGCCCTCCATTGCCAATGGACAGCCATCTATAATAATTACGGAATTTCTAGTCCTACAGTTTTTGTCTTTATTCAAAATACTACTTCACAGTGCTGTCTTCCTCTAATTAAAATGTAAAGGATTTATTATCTTTAACTATGCATAGCTATGTGTCTGTTCGAATGTATATTCACGTGAGTAAAGTCTCACAGAGGCCAGAGGTGTAGGATGCCCTGGAGCTAGTTACAGAGCTGCAAAACCCCTGACAGGAACAGAACTCAGGT